ATGACTCTCTAAGGAAGAAGTTCATCTCTCTGATGCTGTATCCAGTTATGAGGTATCACATTTAAAGTCTCTGATGCTGAAGACATTCACTGGTGAGCAGCTATAATAGACTTGTTTTCAGCTAGGAGCATGAGCTTTTAAATTAACACCCTGAGCAAGGACTAGATTAATCAGAAAGATTTCATAATGCCAGAAAAATCTGTGAGCTATTCTTGAGGAATATTGGTAGAAGTATTAGAAAGACAGGAACCAGTGCTTAAAAATGTAAATAATTTTTTTGGTGCCATTAGATGTGTAAAAACTGTGTACATAACAAACTTGGCAGTATGATATTTAAATACAGTTTAATGTCTACAAAACATGATCAAAATTTATAGGAAAGCATCCTCCTAATTAAGGCTAGTTATGAAACAATTGGAAATGACTTAACATATCTGGCAATATCTTACAAGTGGTGAAATGACAGTAGATAAGAATGACATGAATCTGATCATTAGAAACTAAGCTTGAACTTCTAAATATTAGCAGTGTTGAACCAATTACACCATCCTCTTTCTTTAAAGCTACGCTTAGCAAGTAAACATTAGAGGTCTGACACAGTGGCCAGTGTAACAAATTCCTTGTATGTGATTTCAATAACTGATGTTTAGTCTTACCTAGAAGATAAAGCAACTCCAGCTGGCATAAAGACCAAAACCCTCACCTAAAATTGGTCTAGCCTGAAGCACTGATGGAAGCGTAATGGTATGTGTTTCAAAATGCAACAACATGATGAAAACATGATGGCTTGTAGAAAGCGTTTTTTGTAAGAAGCCACAGCATTATTTATCCAAGAAAAACTGAGAAAAAAGTGAATAGAATAGTGACTTGGCAACCAATATTAAAAGGTATAGAAATAACTTGTGAAAGAAAGAAGAAAAGGTAGCTTTACTGATGTTGCCAGCAATACGAGATAATTTCTAAAATTCACTCAGATTTTCTGAGTACCAAATATTCTAGCTGGAAGCCCCCTAATACTTTAAAACGTTGCTGTTTTTTCCATACATGAGCTGTTTCCTTTTTTTTTACAGTAGTTTATTTTTCCCAGTCTAAATATTTTAGTAGAAGAGTAAAAGTACTTCACAGTTTTAACACTTGAGGAAAGAACTCTGTATACCACATCACCCTCAGTTCTAAAATTTCCAGAAGAATTAGTAATTTTTGCCCTGCTGGCAAAGTGTTCAGCCCTCCATTCTAATTCTATGGCAGGCATTCAGCACCACCTAGTCTTTGTAACTTTAATCTTTTTCCATTAATATTCTGCACATATTTAAGTTGCTAGAAATTTCTGGAAACTTTTTAATTATCATTCAGGACATACTTAGCACGAAATCTTGGGAATAACAACCCACACAGTAATTTGTATATGTTCTGCAAATACAAGTTGCTACTGATACAACTGCATCATGTAGTTCTTTTTGAGGCTCTTGTATTCATTTTGACATCTTGGCAATGCCATAAGCATTTTTCTTATAATCTGCCAGGGTCATAATTCTTACACTCAGTTAATGTTGTATCGTGCTCTTGGAAAAATCAAATTGTCTAGGAAAACATTTGTTTGTTTTCTGCTGCTTTAATGCAGCTTTATATTCAGCAGGTAGATTTGATGTGGCTATGTGTTTGCTGAGCAGAAAGGCTTCTTCTTCAGTAAGGGTGGTGAAAATATTTAGTGGAACATTGCTTTAGACAGCATCTAAAAACATAACCCGCTCAAGGTGGTTACCGGTAGATTATCTTTCTTCCCACATACATCCACTGCACAACATTTGCTTAAATTTATTAAAGCTTATTTGGCTTATGTCAAAGTCAAGAAATTCAACCTCTGCCTTCTCAGTTCAGCCAACGGGTGTTAATGAATAATAATATATTCTTTAGGTACACAAATCACATTTTTTCACAGTAACGTGATCTTACTCTCTAAAGAGAACAAATATTTTTTCTTCAAGGAAGAGTTATACAAGATTTTGATTTTGTGGCATTTTTGAAGGGTTCAGTATAGAACTTCAGGCTTCATTTATAGCATTCTGTTCAAACCTAAATCTGAAGATAAAAATTAACCCTTCCCTATATACATTTTTGTGATACTCACCTCTAAAATACCAAGTATTCTACAAATGTAAGAGTTCAATTTCACAATATGCCATGATAATATGAGAATTTCATATGTTTGCAATATTTTTCAGTGATCATGGTACCTAAAGCCAGGGTATATTTAGTATATAACATATGAAAGCTCAACTTCATTTCAGATCCATCTTCAGGGTCTGAAGCAATGAACCTCAAAATATACAACAATCATACTAATGCAGGTTTTTTTCCTACTTGAATTTTCTGTCTTAGCAAAAAAATTTCCATGCTCATAAGGAAAATACATCTGAACTCAAGTTTTAAAATAACCCTTCCTGAAAGGAAAATTAAAAGTCCTGTCTGCAAACAGGTATCTGGTTTCCAAGCAGTTTTCACACATAACATTTTATTCTTTCAGCTGATGTGCAGACCATGACCTGCCAGCTTGGGACTTGATTTCTAAACTCATAATTTCTCTTTTTTTTTTTTTCTTTAAGACAGGCTACTAAGATATCCTGCTAGCCTCCTGGTAGCCTCCAATTTTCACAAGAAACAGCTTGTGTTTCCAAGTTTTTCAGCTTGCCATTCTACTGCAGCCAATTGAAAAATGAACCATGGAACAACTATGGTGCATGAGTTTATGGAAGCCTGAAATTTGGTTGATTCAGAGACCCTACTCTTTCTAAATTCGTTTGTTTCCAATGCTAAAACTATTCAGAGAAATGTGTACCATTTGTCACCTTTCAATACAACACCTTTTAAAAGGAAGAAAATCCTTTTAACTTTGTCCTTATCATTTGGCTGAAGTGGTAAAAAATAACAATATTGTCAATAATAATGGTGAGCAGGAGCAGAAGTTTTTGTGGATGCCAGAGAAAGAAGTTTAGGATGGGCAGTCTCCAGCTAAGCAGAAAGTTAATAAGCAAATAAAAATGGAATTCTTTCAAGTATTACATTTTATGAAGTGTCTGAAGTTTATATGCTACCATTTCATCAATCCTGCAATATTCTGGACAGGGGAAAAAAAAACCTGCCAACAGCACCTTTTCATTTACTTTCCACTTCTTGATTCATCAGATAAACAAAGAGCTCTAAGTTCCATACTGTCTCTTGTTCTTGTATCAGTTGCCACTACGTCAAGAATAAATTTTGAAAGCAGTGTTTTTTTCCTGTGCCATCTTCTGCTTAAAGAACCTCTGATGTTTGTGCTGAAATGATCTGGAATTCTGCCAAAGGCTTCAGGATAAGCACATTTCAGTCTGGCAGTGAATCCCCAGTCAAAGACGAAACAGCTACAGACACTATCACAAGAAAGTTATTTATAAATCCAGATACTAAATCAAGGGAAAACTAGTGCAGCAGTCTTTTAATTGAGGCCATTTGTTCCAAGTGCCAATAGTATAAATATCAAACGTGGTACTTTGTGCATGTATCAAAGTTTAGACACAGCAGTGTAGGTAGCGTCCAGAGAAAGATAATTTCTGTATTTTCCTCTGGCAGTATTTGCAGGTTGAACATTTCTAACTGAACATTTAAAGCCTGAGATTGGTAAGGAGCTATGCATTCGAAGATATTTGAAGTAATATACCCAAAAAGTTGTTTTGAGAATTTTAGCAGCTAAAATGCCCTATTTTGGTCCACAGGTACTTTTGCCTTTCCTACTAACCTGCTCTTTTCTGTTTATATTTTGTATGCTCAAAATAAATGCACAAAACAATTCACCAAGCCCACCTTGGCTTAGCACCAAAATTGTACATCATCTGAAAATTATAATATATTTTATTACAGGTTGCAATAGAAGCTTGTATTTCATCTTCCATGAATCATCTCAGAAATACAAAGTAGAATATCAAATGCCTATGTATATATGCATTTCTATACTTACAAATGTGCATGTATAGATAATATTAATAGCTTTCTGTACTTATGGACTTGAATAACTAGAGCTTTACATGTAACAGTTATTTTAAAGAAATGAATAAAAGTGACATCAATGTTTCTTGTGATCTTGTTCTTAGAAATTAGAGTGGTTGGGAAGCGTTCAGATGGATTATTTCAGAAATTAAAAAAAGAAAATATAATCTATTCTCAAAAAATTAATTAAAAACATAATGGTTTCTATTGTTTTTGAATAATATCATCTTCCTTTGTTTAAATATGAATCAGTGGAATGCTTCATTGCTTAATTTTCCATTTTGAAGAAAAATGGGGCATCAGTATTGTGTGGGAACTGGCTGGGCCACTGTCCAGCATCCCTTTTTTTCACTGAAGAGCATGCCTTCAGAAAAAAAGAACTGAGTCTGTGTTCAACTTGATTCTTAGAAGTTATTTATGTACTTGCTAGCAGATTCAATGAGAATAATGTAAAAGTCATACTAAAGTCATGGAAGTTTGAAGTAAAATGGGAGAACAGAGATTTTAATTTCAGGACTGAAAAAGTTAAGGGCTAGTTAATGTAATGAAAGGAAGTTAAATAAAGAAGGTAAATGTGAGTTTGGAAATTTATCAGTAATATTATTTTAGCTGATTTTTCAAGAGAGACCATTTAAAACCAAAGCAAGCCTGAAAGTTATGAATATGTTGATTTGATATGAATTCTAAGTCTGTGTGATTGAAAGAATCTGAATAAATGGAATGATAAAAGTAATAGGTCATGGTAGATAAGCTTAAAGACAGTTTTCTTCTCAAAGGTGCATCTTTAAGTTAAGCTACCTTTCTAAACTAAAAATGAGTGTCTTATTTCTGATATATGACAATGAATTTTGAGCTAGAAAGCAGAAACTAATTACATTTAAAGTGTTCCACTCAGGCTGCTCATTAATATAACGAGAGCAGAAATGACAGAAAAGAGCAAAAGAAAAACTAATACTTGCCTTTTTATATTTATTTTACAGGAAATGTGTTTGTTGTAAGCCTGGCAGTTGCAGACTTGATAGTAGCTATCTACCCTTATCCACTGGTCCTCACATCTGTGTTTCACAACGGATGGAAACTGGGATACCTACACTGCCAGATTAGTGGCTTCTTGATGGGCCTAAGTGTCATTGGATCAATCTTCAATATTACAGGCATCGCTATCAATCGGTACTGCTATATCTGCCACAGTCTCAAATATGACAAGCTGTACAGCGACAAGAATTCATTGTGCTATATTGTTCTTATATGGGTCCTAACATTTGTTGCTATCGTGCCCAACCTGTTTGTGGGATCGCTGCAGTATGACCCCAGGATTTACTCCTGTACATTTGCACAGTCTGTCAGCTCAGCATACACCATAGCCGTTGTGTTTTTCCACTTCCTGCTTCCCATAGCTGTAGTCACTTTCTGTTACTTGCGAATATGGATCCTCGTTATTCAGGTAAGGCGAAGGGTTAAACCGGATAACAACCCTAGGCTGAAACCACATGACTTCAGAAACTTTGTGACCATGTTTGTGGTATTTGTGCTGTTTGCAGTCTGCTGGGCTCCTTTGAACTTTATAGGCCTTGCAGTGGCCGTCAACCCAAAAACTGTAATCCCTAGGATTCCAGAGTGGTTGTTTGTGTCTAGTTATTACATGGCATATTTCAACAGCTGCCTTAATGCTATAGTATATGGACTCCTGAACCAGAACTTCAGAAGAGAATACAAGAGAATTATTGTCACTTTTTGTACGGCAAAAGTTTTTTTCCAGGATAGTTCTAATGATGCAGGAGACAGAATGAGAAGCAAACCTTCTCCACTGATTACAAACAACAATCAAGTGAAGGTGGACTCTGTCTGAAAGTGGGAATCTTACTATTATCACTTCACAAAAAGTGTCCGTCTTATTAGACCTCCTGTTAAATATTATAGTGAAATATATCTTCTACTCTGAAAGCACTTTGATCAAATTCCTTGCATGGTGTTTGGAAGCTTGTTACAAAGCCTTGACATACAGATCCTATTATACAATGGTATATCCCTTGTATAGTGACATACCTTTTTTTTTTTTTTTTGTTAAATGGAGATGAGCACCTAGAAAGAGATTATATCACAAGTATCCATATTGCCTGGTTCATTAAAACAAGTCATAAAACTATTCCTAACACTTTCCACATGCTTTTTCTGTCCATGTTACAGTCCTGATTCTAAAATCTCTGAAACCTTCTTTTAAAAAATGAAATCTGACCTTTATGTAATATATTACGAGATGTGCAGTGAAAAATCAAGGTAATTGAAAATTCATTAGGATTTTTGATAAATACCTCTATCAATATTTCTTTGCTACTAACATGGACACGAATATAATTTTTTTTGATATTAAACCTCATCAGCCCTCCTAGGAATGACATTCTCAATTGACTTCTCAATTTTAAAATAGCTTTTAGGAGGAGAAACATGCCTGAATGATTATCTTCAAAGCTCCAAGGGCAGGAGGATAAACAGCAAGGAAGGAAAAGAGCCATGATTCATCAGTTCAAGCTGTTTCAGCATGAAAAAGAGGTGTAGGAGGGTTGGGAAGAGAAATTTAAACGACCATTATTTCTGAAGAGGCAGTAACTCATGAAATAAGGAAGTGCCCCAGAGGAGGTTCTGGGGAAATACCTCCTAGAAACATAAGTGAGGAAGAACTGTTATATCTCACTTGTGTACAAGACAGAAGTTCGAAATCTCTGTGAGAAGAAGATTAATGCATTTAATAGGAGTGATAGTTGAGTATGACAATTTTGTCTGGTTAATGGAATCTTAAGGCCATGAAACTCTGGAAAATGCGACACGCATACAGGATGAATATTTAACATCTATCTGAATCTGATCTGAAAATAACTTGAGGCTAGCAGTTATTTTTCAATCTGCCACAGCTAAACTTTTGAAATTAGTAATTAGGTGTTTACCACAATTATGAACATAGTGTAATAACCTAGAACAATTAGACACCTTTAAATAAAAGAAAAGAGAAGATCCTACTTATAGCAGTGGCACAAAGAGGAACATGTGATTCTCAGGACTTTCCACAGACAGTGGGGACCTCTTCGGTAGGGGGAGGTACAGTGCAAAGTGAGGAAGAATAGCAAGACAGGCTGTCTCCTTCAACAGTGAAGCTCTCTTTATAATGAAGTCTTCTGGCAGAGAAAAAGTAATTCACAACAATAGGATTCACCTTCAAATTGACGCTTAAAAGAAAGAGCATTTAGTTCTGGAAAGAAGCTCCAGCTGTCATACCTTTTAATTCTCAATTGTTTATACCTACGGTGACGTTCAAGTACACTGGAGCTTTTCCAATCCAATTCCAACAATGTCAGTGGGACTAAGAGCTTCTGAATAGCCATTAGACTTCTGTTAATCTATGTTAAAATGTGAATTTTACTTAAACAGTTATTTTAAAATATTATTTACTGTACTGGAGATTTTCTTGTACATGACCTTATATGTCTTAGAAAACAACAGTCATTCTGTCATAGAACTCCTTAAACTGCATATAAACCTAACAGCATTCCATCTTTCTTGGATCATAGATTAGTATACCCTTGGTTTACTAATGCACTAAAGGGAATGGATTCATATTTACTTGAAAGCCCCACTGACACTTCATCATCTGACCAGTTTCTTACCTTAAAAACAGGTGCCTCACGTCAAGTTATCAACGGAACTAAATGAACAACGTTGTAAAACCTTGGATATGAACTAGCAAGTCAATGCATTGCTGAGGTGCTTGACTCATCTTTGTTTACATTTTCCAGTCAGAACCACTGTGTAAATAACCAGCTCTCCTCTATTGTGGTATCATCATATGATATGATACAACATGATTTACAGCATAAAGTATATCACAGCTTTCTTCACTGTGATTTCATCCTTGGAGGATGCTTAGCTCTGTAATTTTATTGCTTTGTGTGTAGTGATTTTAGAATAGCAAGGGAGGCATGACCACCTTACAAATAAATGAGTTTTTCATGCAAGAAAAAATACTATTTAAATTCTTACAAAAATTGCCTTATTTAAAGCATATTTTCAATGAAAATAATGTCTTATTATATATCTATGAAAGTAGCATAAAGACAGTTAAAGTAGCTTAACCATTAGTAAGTTTAGAATTCTCACTTTCCATTTCCTACAGAAAATGTACATCTGTATCATGTCTACATATTTATGAACTGGTTCAAGATACTGTATCCAATATGTGGGTTATCTGAGGAATTAAAGTCCCCTGTAATTCGCAAGTGCTAAAATATATTTTTGATGACAATGAAAATGGTTTGCTATATACAACGGAACATATTATACCAAAGGTATATATTTTATTGAATAGGCCTGTAATAAAAATTGAGAGCATTTTTCAGATCTGTATTTTGAAATATTTGTACTAAGTCTAAGTCACAGAAACGTGCATGTTGGTGATGTTACGAGCTGCTAAATATAGCAATAATTTTAAGAAATTTATCTCTTGTTCTTCTTTTGGGGGAGAGTTGATAATTTTGTTTAAATTACTGTGGATGAAAACTTTGGATAATATCTGCTGCCCTCTTGAGATTACTTTTGCATTTACTGCCATTCTGAAGTATGTTTTAGGTAAGGATTGCAAAACTACTCATTGCAAAAGTAGAATAATAATGAATGATGCTTAGCTCTGCAGTGATGGTTACTTTTAATTCAAGTCTGTTGCTTCAAAAGAGTCAAAGTGATTCATGCAAGACAATCAGCAGCCTTGCCAGCTGCTCACTGACAACGAGCATGACAATGTAAGTCAGCACCTCACAAGATCTGACTCTTTGTAGTCAACATAAAGATGAGTGGTGAATAATGATTTCTGTCCATTCTGAGGAGATGCAGCTTGAAACATCTGAGATTACTTGCTTCTGTGAAAGTGGATGAGCCATGTTATGCTTTTTTATATTCCAAGTCATTAAATTTTCCCCTGTATAAAAGGTTAGCATAGCACAACTGCATTATAAAGAGTTCTATCTGGGTGGTTTAGCTAGTGCACTTGTCCTGTAGCAGTCATAGGCCCTGGATAGACTTATCCCTAAAATGCGAATCTTGGGAGTCTGCGGCATCTGCAGAGGTTCCTACTTCCTTTCCATTCCTGATCTGAGCCCCAGTGAAGCCAAAGAACCTCTGTGAAGGAGTAGTAAACATGTCTGTCCCCCTCCCTGTATGCAGCACACTGAAGACTTACAGCCTTATGGAGCGCTACCTTATCCTGCAAGAATTCCTTTCCTATATCACAATCTCGATTATGTTGACAATCAGAATATGATCTTATCAACACACTTTGAACCCTTACAGATAGATAGTTTTATTGGTGGTCATCTACATTGTAAACTTCATGTTTACAAAGAAGCTTGGCATTATTAAATATTTACCAGCAAAGAGAATCTTACTGAATATCTTAATATCAAACAGGGTAGTTATTGTATTTAAGCTGTAACTGTATGCAACAATGTAGTTTCATTTGGAGTAGCTTTGCACATTTTCTTCTACCACTGGGCTAGTGCAAGTCCATAGATATGAAACAAGCATATGTTATTTCAATAGACATAATATGTAGCAATGATTTTACTTCTTTTTCTTCTAATTTGTTATAGAAGGCAGGTATATGAATCATTCATAATAAAGAGACTACAATGAAAAATCTGTATCGGTGTATAGTGCATCCTTCTATAATCGTCACATCTTTTTCTTCTTTTTGACCACTTTTAAGATGTTGTCATGTTAGATCTGGTTAATTATAGTATACTGAAGGGAGCTGTTATTTCCCTTACATGGCACTGAAAAACAAAATCATAAAAAAAGATCCTTAAAATATAATACACAAGTACATAAATATATGTGGTCATCCAATTTGAAATATAATTTCAAAAACCCCTTTTATTTTAACAACTTGTTCACAAACTGTAGTAATATAGATGGACTGTTATTCTTTAATTATTTTCTAATAACTGCAGTTTTTAAGTATCATTGATGTGGTTTATGAATAATTAAGAACTACAAATGTCTGTCATTTTGTCACTGAGGCTTGGGAAATCACACATGCTAAAGCCGACTTTCTTAGCAGAAAAAATATTCAAGTAGTGGCTTGGCTTATAGCCCATGTACTGTATCTCAAATTTTTGCCTGTAATAAGAATTCCATTATGTGGTTTTATGAATTTACTTATTAAAAATAATATTCCTACCTCAAATATGTGTCTGAGAGATTGCAATGTGTATAGGGTGGAAAAGATTCACAGTATAAGTCAATAGCCTTTACAGTTTTTAATAGAAACAAAAGTAAATCTGGAAAAGTACATATATTAATTCATAGAAAATATTTTCCCAATTGAATAAAATACTCTTCACTCAAACTATCCCAGCTACCAAATGCTGACCAAAGTATGCACATTTTGAGAACCATGTTATTCATAGAAGTATATAAATTATTCCAAAAGATTATTCCAAAAGTTAAACCCAAAAAACCTTTGAGACATGGTGTCTGAGCTTCATCTCACATAAACCAGTACAGCTTCACTGATTCATGTCAGCCGAGGGTTTTGGTATATTACAGTCCATAAATCTAAAAATTAGCTATTTTACACTATTACACAAGCAATATGTACTTTATTTCTATGAAATGCCCCAGCTGTCAGATGTTCAGGTTGTAGGAGAATGTGAATCTGCCTGTTAATGATCTGCAAAGTTAACATCATCCATCATTTCTGTGATTTGTCATTTTTATAAATAAATATAAAATGTCAGCAGTCTTTTATGTGGCTTCAGTCTTAATTGTTTAAGTAGCAACTATTTAGCAGAAAATTATACTAAACTTAAGAGATTTAGAGACAGGAAGTCTACTTGCCATTATTTTTTCTGTTTATATTGCATGTGTGCACACGGATTTCATTTAATCATACCAAGTATTTTACTTTGTATGTTTGTTTCCAGATTCTCAAAGTTTCTATACTTAAGTACATACTCTCCTTCAATATGTACAAATATTCAGCTAGTTTATA